ATGAATAATTTTAGTTTAAGTATGTCCCAAATACTTCATAGGGCATACTTATGCTAAAAAATTGCTATTTATCTGATACTCTGGTTTAACTAGGTGTCCTGAATTTTTGTTGCTAAATCTGCCAACTATGGTGCAGCCCTTTACAATGTACTCAAACTTTCTCAATGAGTTTAAGAGGCAGTTATACAAGTAGTATGACTTTACAGGCAGGCTAAGAGTATAGTTACTGGAGTTATGCTCTAACTTCAAATCCCTGCCTTACCACCTTTAGTGTGATCTTAAATGAGTTCTTTAACCTCTGTAGCCTGTTTTCTCATCTATATTCAATCAATAGGAAAAAAATATAAACCAGAAAACATACAACTATTAAGTGGGTACCATTAAGTGGAAAGTCAAAAGAATGTAATAAAATAGAATAAGATTCTAAAAATGATAACTCTTAAGAGAGGAAGACAATAGCATTACATTGTAGCAGGGAGTATGTACCTCTACAGAAACCCCATGTGTAGAAAATAGGCTGCAATCCAATATGCTTTGCATTGGTTATGCCCTGTTGAGAGGAATAGTTCAATTTTGTACTCCAGTTTTAAAAAAAAAAAATTTGAAGAGGTTTAGAGAAAAAATAAAATTTCAGGTGACACCATGGTCAGTTGGCTACAAAGACAGTGTTCTACATCCTGCTTAGATGAGTAGCATCTGGGATACTAAAAGCTCATGAGTGGCCATATAAGGTGCAGCTACTGGTCCATCCCTCTGCAGAAGAAGGAGGAGTGATAAGAATTGAAGATGTTTTGAATCAGTTAGTCCAGTGGACTCTGAGACCAGAACTAAACAATGCCCAGCTACTCTACCGACTGCTCTGAAAGCGATCACATTAGAGGGCTCCAGATAGGAGAAAATGTGGAACAAAACTCAAAATTATTTTTTTAAAAAAAAGACGGGTTTATTGGTCAGAAAGAAACTGGTGGCCCTCTACCGCCCTTCAGGTCTGTTAAAGAACTCATTCTCATGGCCCAGTTTTCAGCTACTTAGTACATAGGTTCATGGAGTGGGGCACAACATAGAATGGTCACTCATTTCAAAATAAAAGGGCAACATTTTCCTAAGGAGAAAGTTGAGAAGGAATGGGAAAGTGGGTGGGGTGTAAACAGGAA